GTGGAAAGTTTTTTTTCTTTTTTAAACATTTTATATACAACGATAATGAGTTATTGGTAAAGATTTTCAATTAGATATAAAGAATATTGAAAAGCGGAGGACTGCTGATCTGAGTGCTAAGAAAAAGAGGTGCTAAGGAAAACCGATCTACTCATCTGGAAACAATTGATCTTTTAAAGAAGTGTCACTGGTGGGTTATTCCCTTCCTTTTTTTTCTTCACTTACAAAGGAAAAAGTTCTCATTGTGGAAAAATGCAGTAAATTTAAAAAAAAAAAAAAGCATTTTGATTGATACGGAGCAAGAAGAAATGCCAAAGCAAGTAAAAATCTTTTAGCGCATTTTGAGCCTCAATAAACATTTTATGACAGGTTTCAGGCGGATTCAAACTTTTAGTAGATTCTGAATTTAGGCTATCAATGGAAATAGAAAATTTTACAGCTTGCTTTAGTAATTTTTTTTCAGTTTTAGTTTACGACCCAATAATCGTTACATTTACGATGGGCGTCTGCAGTTTATGCCAAAAAATTTTATGATAATAAGGTGTGAATGGATGGACTGATATGTGATTTTTACAACAGGAAAAAAGGAACAAAATTAGAATATCATTTAAAAATTCTCAACTTCTAATATTTTGTTACAAAAAATTTTGATTTTTGACAAGCTTAGGTCATTTTTAGTTACTTTTCTGTTTTCTTTTCTTCTTTTAGTATTTTAGTACTTTGGTAACAAGTTTAAAGCAATTTTTTTGGATTATAATTTCTGTTTTTATTATATATTTTTTTAGCTAGTTTGTTTGAGGTTATTTGAAGTTATAACAACATACTGACCTTTGTTTTGTGCCGTTTCGGATTCTGCGGCATCCAGTTTACCGTCGTCAACATCTTCGGTAGTTACATCAGCCATTTTATCAACTAGTTTTGGTGTTGCCGTATCAACACCTTCAACGTCTAATGATGGTAGAGCATTTCTTCTTCCTGTTCGGCTTGTTGCATTAAATTTTAGCATTTCTTCATCGCCATGATCTGTTGGTGTTCCCTCATGTTCTCCCATCTTAGTGCGTCAAGGGCATCGGTAATATTTATTCAACAATAGCTAACTGCATTCGTTACGAGTAAGCCGTTTAGTTGTTGGTGTTTCAGTTATAATCGCAATATTAATAGAATAAATAGTGCGCAAAAGAAATGAATTGAAACCTGTCAAAAAAAGGGATAAGTATTGGATTA